ATATCAATATTAGTATTAGTATCAATATTCGATAAGTTAGTATCAATATTAGTATTAATATCAATATTAGTATTAGTATCAATATTCGATAATCTATAGTTGGTTTTGATAATTTTGTATTTGATTTCGACAATATTGATACTATTAGTGATACTAATATTGATACTATTAGTATTAGTATCACTATAAGTATTATCCATATTATTATCAATTAGTATTAGTATTAGCATCAGTATCCACTATCAATATTAGTATCAAATAGTATTAGCATTTGCATTTGCATTAGCATTAGCATTAGCATTAATATTAGTTTTAATAGTAGGATTATGATTAAGGTTAGGATTAAAATTAACATTATAATTAGAATTATGATTTGTATTAGTATTAACATTAGTATTAGTTATTAGTATTAGTATTAGTATTAATATTAGTATTAGTGTTAGTGTTAGTGTTAGTGTTAGTGTTTTGTGTTTGTGTTAGTATTAATGTTAGAATTAATATTAATGTTAGTATTCGTATTAGTATTCATATTCGTATTCATATTCGTATTTGTATTAGTATTCGTATTCGTCTTTATATTTATATTCGTATTTATATTCGTATTCATATTAGTATTTGTATTCTTATTAGTATTCGTATTCGTATTTGTATTGGTATTGATATTGATATTGGTATTGGTGTTGGTATTGGTATTGGTATTGGTATTGGTGTTGGTGTTGCTATTGGTATTGGTATTGGTATTGGTATTGGTATTGGTATTGGTATTGGTATTTGTATTGATATTGATATTGGTATTGATATTGGTATTGGTATTGGTATTGGTATTGGTATTGGTATTGGTATTGGTATTACTATTAATATTGGCATTGGTATTGGTATCGATATTGGTATTGGTATTCGTATTAGTATAGGTATTGGCATTGACATTGGTATTGGTATTGGTATTAATTTTGTTATTAGTATTAGTATTGATTTTTGTGTTAATATTATAAGTATTGGTATTAGTATTAATAGTAGTAGTAATAGTAATATTAATTTTGGTATTAGAGGTGGTATGGACTATTATACGTCGCAATATGGACAGTGAAGAGTAGAGGTGGCACGGACTATTATATGTCGCAAAATATGGAGAGTTAAGAGTAGATGTGACATAAAGATATTCATCAAGTCGGAATAGACGACTAATATATTACTTGCAATATTGTCTACTATGAAGATTTTCAGGGTATATAAATGTACATAAAAATTGTATATTGTGACCCACATTTGTTGTTTGTATCTTTTACATGTATATTTATTTTACCGTATTAGTTTATTTTCACTTTATACTAATTTTATTATCTACTCTACTAATTTTTTTTTAAACAAGGTGATTTAGAACATAAAGTATTTATTTTGTACACTTTTAGGTGATTATGTTTCAGTAATGTGTACCACTGATTGCATTTGAACAATGTAAAATATGCATGTTACTCGCAAAGAGTGTTAGAACAACTCTAGTGGAGGAACTAAATGGCTATCAAACCAAAAAACTACCACTTTGATACTCTAAAATTAAAAAATCCTCCTCCAACGGAGACATTAAAGTGAGAATTATTTTGATACTCAACCACCCGAGGTGCAAAAATACTCCCTGAAAATGAGGTATAAAAAATATAACCACTTTATTAACCTATCACTATTTGACATGTGGGACTTAAAAATATAATTATTCATATATTTAAAATTTGAGAATTTATTTGATACTTGTGGTTGGAGTGATCTTTTTTCTTTTTAGAAGCAAAAATGTATATCAAATGAATGTTTAATGCTCCATTTTGATATATTTCCATTGGAGTTGCACTTATAGACGATGTCAATGCATGTGCTATAAAACACTACTTTGATAATTAAGTTTCTGTTAAAGATACAAAGTATTGGATGAGATAGTTGTACCGTTTAGGTCTGATAATGTATCTTATTTTTTATATCACAATTTCTGTATTTTATATTTCCTTTTTATCATTTTTTTATATCGGTAGTTAAATCAAATGGAATTGATTTTGTTTTTAAACTTTTAAGATTATACCATATTATTTATCAATTATTTAAAGTTTTCGTTCGATAATTTGATCTAAAACATATTTTTCATTTTTTATATTACCGTCATGTATCGCATTAACATTCTCTTTTCATACATAAAAGTGTTTGATTTACCTCATTGGCATGTTTTTGTCATTAAAAATTTGTACTTAGAATTGATCCCCGTGCATCGCACGGGTGAGTTACTAGTTTAAATCGGAAATCAAAATCTAATATACATTCAAATTTCGTTCCAAAAAGAAATTGAAAAATCGAAAATTGAATTTTTAAAATTGGGAATTAAAAATATTATTCCAAATAAAAAAAAAATTGGGAATTTACACACATGTCGAATAAAAAAATATTTATATATATATTACGAACTACAAAACACAACCTTCAGCCACTTGCGAGCCAATGCTGCCAAGATTTCGTATAAAGTTGCAGCGCCTGAAATCAAACTCTCCGACTCCGAATCACCAACTCAAATTTTCAACAACCCATCTTGTAGAACACCCTCAAACCCATCGATCACCACTGCAAGAACTCTACTTCTACAACAATCTACTGAAAATATGTTTGCAAGAATGCAAGAAAATCCAGTCCCGCCAAGTGCTCGACAGAATGCCTCACAGACACAGTGCTTCTTTAAAGACGGCGAAAGCAATTCACACTCGCGTCTTAACGTTTGGCATTTCAAAAGATGGGAAATTGGGCAACTCCATCTTGGATTTATACGCCAAATGTGGCCACGCAGATTACGCGGAAAAGGTATTTTCGCACCTCCAGAGAAGGGATGAATTGGCGTGGAATTCGATTTTGAGTATGAACTCTCGTAAAGGGTTGTTTGAAGATGTTATGGATAAATTCGCCTCTATGTGGGGTTGTGGGGTGGTAGGTAATCAGTTCACATTTGCGATTGTTTTGTCGGTTTGTGCTAAGTTGATGGATGCAGAGCTTGGGAAGCAAGTGCATTGTGCTGTTATCAAAACAGGGCTGGAATCCGATGCATATTGCGAGGGTGCGTTGATTGATATGTACGCCAAATGTGGTCATCTGCTTTTGGCTAAGAGGATATTCGATGGTGCGGTGGACCCTGATACTGTTTCTTGGACCGCTATTATTTCAGGGTTTGCTCAAGCTGGTTCGACTACGAAGGCGATCGAAATCTTTGAGCAAATGCAAAATGTTGGTCTTGTTCCAGACACTGTAGTTTTTGTGACTGTTTTGAGCGCTTGTGTGGGGCAAGGAAGGCTCGAGGAAGCTCGTCATCTGTTCGCTCAAATGCCTAACCCAAATGCTGTGGCATGGAATGTAATGATATCTGGGTATGCAAAAGCTGGTTACGTAGGAGAAGCTATCGAACTTTTCAAGAATATGGTCAAAGCCGACGTGGGGCCCACACGTTCTACACTAGGAAGTATATTGAGTGCGATTGCTGCTGTAGCTAACCTTAGATACGGCTCGCAAGTACATTCTTGGGCGGTGAAGCGTGGTCTCGATTCCAATGTATATGCAGGGAGTTCTTTAGTTAACATGTATGCCAAGTGTCGGAAAATCGAGGCAGCAAAGGCAGTGTTTGATGGGCTCGAAGGTAAGAATGATGTGTTATGGAATGCATTGCTTGGAGGTTACGCTCAAAACGGGCACGCTCGTGAAGTTTTGGAGTTATTCGCGAGTATGAAAATTTCTGGATTCCGACCCGATAAATACACCTACACGAGCGTGCTGAGTGCTTGTGCTTGTTTAGGAAATAAAGATACAGGGCGACAGTTGCATTCGGTTATTATCAAGAACGAATTCGGAGCAAACTTATACGTGCAGAATTCATTACTCGACATGTATGCCAAATGCGGCTCTCTGATTATAGCGAGAAAACTATTCGAGCGAATTGGAAATCGAGATAACGTTTCTTGGAATGCAATGATTGTCGGTTACGTGCAGGAAGAAAAGGAAGAAGAAGCCTTTTTCATGTTCCGTCGGATGATGTCAGAGATGACTTCACCCGACGAGGTGTCTTTAGCTAGTATACTAAGTGCTACGGCAAAGATGCAAGATCTTTGCAAGGGTAAGCAAGTGCATTGTTATCTCGTCAAATACGGCTTAGAGAAAAGCCTTTACGCGGGGAGCTCACTCATCGACATGTACTGCAAGTGTGGAATAGTCGAAGCTGCAACTTTGCTTTTCTCTCACATGCCCGAAAGAAGTGTCGTTTGTGTAAACGCTTTAATTTCTGGCCATGCTCAACTTAGCTTACGGGGGGCTGCATATATATTCAAGAATATGCTCTGTGATGGGCTGAAACCCTCGGAAGTTACTTTCGCCACACTTTTGGAGGCGTGCTCCGATAATATCGACCTGTATTTCGGAAGACAAATCCATTGTTGTATTGTGAAGCTTGGCTTTACATACAACGACGAATATTTAGCCGTTTCTCTGTTGGGAATGTACATGACTGCTCGAAGAAACAGCGATGCAACTAATCTTTTCTCTGAGCTCCCGCATCGAAAAAGCACGATAATATGGACAGTTTTAATATCAGGAAACGCACAAAACGGATGTGGAGAAGAGGCGTTAGTTTGGTACCAAGAAATGCGCTGTCATAACGCGATGCCGGACCAAGCCACATTTGCTAGCGTACTCAAAGCGTGCTCGAGTTTATCTTCTTTAGAAGACGGTAGAAAAATCCACTCTTTGATCTTTTTTATTGGTTACGATAAAGACGAGCTAATTGGAAGCGCCCTTGTGGATATGTACGCAAAATGCGGTGACATGGGAAGTTCTTCACGAGTGTTTAACGAAATGATTACCAAGGAAGATGTGATTTCGTGGAACTCGATGATTGTCGGATACGCGAAAAACGGCTACGCAAAAAATGCTTTGGAGATTTTCGAAGAGATGAAAATGGCAAACGTGAGTCCCGACGAAGTCACTTTCCTCGGTGTGCTAACTGCGTGTAGTCATTCGGGAATGGTTTCCGAAGGGAGAGAGATATACGATAGTATGATTAGGGTTTACCGGGTCCCACCAAGAGTGGATCACTGTGCGTGCATGGTGGATCTTTTTGGGCGGTGGGGCTTTCTTGATGAGGCTGAGAAGTTTATCGATGAGATGGGCGTCGAGCCAGATTCTATGATATGGGCGACTTATCTAAGCTCATGTAGATTGCATGGGGATGATTTAAGGGGAAAACGTGCGGCGGAAAAGCTTATTGAATTGGAGCCGCAAAGTTCTTCGCCTTATGTGCTGCTTTCGAATATACATGCAGCGTCGGGGAATTGGGACGGTGTTGATCTTGTGAGGAAGAAGATGACAGAGAAGGGAGTTACGAAAGTGCCTGGAAGTAGTAAAGTTTCTTTGGATGTAGTCGGATAAATTGTGCAATCGATTCTCCTGCAGACATGCCGACGGGTTGTAACACGCCGGTTCAGGGGTCGGAAGCGACGGGTCGACAAGAGGGAATATGCAAACCGGAACCGCGGGTTATGGGGCCGATTCTGGACCCATTGGATCCACCCGGTTCCGGGTTGTATTTTTCAATGTTTGTTTGTGCAATTTTCTTCGTGATCTTCGACATCTAATAGAGTCAATGCTAATCATTCAAATGATCGGGCACATCATAGGTAAAATCTTATGCTTAAGTACAAATGGTGTCACCACACTGAAGTTTGCCTTTTTCGGCTCATGATTCAGCTGGTTGTATAGGGTGCATCCGACTTGTTGGACTTTTCTTTTTGTGATATTTGATTTTAGATCCAAGTATTTATTATTTCAAAGTATACATAATATATGAATTTATTAGCCATATATATGAATTTATTAGATGCTTATGATGTATACATATGAAGTTATTAGCCATATATAGAGCTAATAGCACAGACCCGGCCCCCCTGTGTTATTTTTAATTGGCAAAAAAGTCCCTATAATAAAAAAGTTTATCAAGAAATCCCCTATGTTGTGTTAAGTATAGCACACAACTCCTTAATTCAGATTTTACAGTTGACTGAAGGAAAATGACAAAAATACCCTTACCAAAGAGAAAAGGGAAAAAAATAAAAAATAACAAATTATGAAATGTGATGAAGCAAACAAATAAAAAATAAAAAATTATGAAATGTGATGAAGCAAACAACAAACACCTTCAACGAAGAAGGCAGAAAAAAAGAAAAAAAGAAATCCACAGTGCTGTTCCATTTTCAACGAAGAAGGCAGAAAAAAAGAAAAAAAGAAATCCACAGTGCTGTTCCATTTCCCGTGATTTTTCAAGCTTCCAAAATCATGAAACATTTCTTTCTATTCTCTCTAAGAAAGTCCACAAAGTGAATTTAAGATATTAGTTGGTGACTAAACTCAAAATAGAGGTTGAAAGCACCGTCCAACATCGCCGCCGACCGCCTTTCGCCACCGGCTTTCCACCATCAAAATCCCATCACCTCGCCGTCCCCCCGTTCGTTGAAACAAGAACCGGTCAACTAATTAAAGATAGTTCATATATTTTGTTTTATTTTTGTATTCAAATCGAAGGTCAAAACCTAAAATATGGAAATGGATTGTGAACTCCCAAAACAATAAAATTATGTAGTTCTAATCGAATTATTTCTGGGAAGGTGGGGTATTTTGTTTCTGGAATCATGGGGTTTGTGGGTGGCTTGAAGAATGGAGAAGGGCTGGTGTAATCGACGGAGATGGAGTAGTCGAGCTTCTCCTTGTACGTCAAAGGGTCTCAGCAGCTCCCTCCTGAAATTCGGCTTCGGCTTCGGCTTCTCCTTCTCCAGTCCCCCAGTATTAGCGCGTGAAAATGGTGGTGAGTTCGAAACAATTGGTGATGAGATGATTTGGAGAGATGGTGTTTTTGAAATTGTCAGGGACTGAATCGAAAATTATGAAAATTTTATTTTGGTTTATAAAATTTTCCGGATGAATCTGTAATTTTCAGAAAATGATTTAAAGGGTATTTGTGTCTTTTCATATCAAAAAACACACCTCCAGTCGCTCAGCACACGCGTGCATCGCACGAAAAGCTTTTAGGGGGGATTTTAGCTTTGACTGCCTTTTATAGGGTGGTATTTGCTAATTATTTTATCACAGGAGTTTTTACGGCAATTAGAGTTTACACAAGGATAGTTTTTGCAAAAGACCCGCCATATATATATGCCAAATTCAGTTTGTGTGTCACCCAAAAACAACAGCCAAAAAATGATATGAACATGAATTAGCAAGGCAACAAATGCATTGCAAAAATAAAAATGTTGCATGGTACTATCTTTTATGTTCCAGCAAAAAAGACAAGGCAAGTACAAAAAATTGGTAAAAGATTTATTTGAAAACTTGCTTTTCGTTGCTTTTTACGGTTCACTACTTACTCAAAAATGAATATCGCATGATACCGTTCACAATTACGTTTATCGCATGGAGTTGCCAAATTATGAGCTTATTTTTCACTAATTTAATTTATAGAACTTCACCTTCTCGATGAATGATGATGATCATCTAATCTACGAGTGGAACTTAGTTTTTACAACACTACAAACAATTGTATTTCTACAAAATTCTAAAAGAGAAGGACTTCTAGTAAGCTTCTAGTTAAAAGCAAAACAAAGCATTGAAGTGTTTGTCACACTTAACTTTTTTTATTTGTTGCCCTATTATCACTATGTTGTGTTAATGGTGAAATTGATTGTAATTTTATTATAATATATTAACACATGGAGATTACTGCTTTTGTACTGTTTTGTAATTATTCTTCTCATTTTATTTTTTAACTGCACTTTTTTTTTAATTATTTGGCTACTTTTAATGCGATGGAATTATTTTGTCTCGTACGCTTAGAGGTGTAATTCGGTCGAATCGGATTAGAATTAGCCCTTGTTGAAAAATTCCAATTATTTTTAGGAAGTGAAAAATGAGTTCCAATTTTGTTCCAAGGGGAAATCGCAATTTCGGAAATTGTGATGAAAATTTTGGTTCCAATACATGAAAATTTTGGATCAGAATTGGCGTAATTTTTAATTTTCAATTTTTGGCCACCCAAAATATAAAATGCACAATAATAGTATTGGACATTGGTATTTCTTCTTCTATCATGGAATCACGATTGGAAATTGGTCGAAAAAGATATGCACGAGTCAATGAACATTGTCCACAATTTTGATATTCAGAGTTATCTAAAATTCAAAATGAAACTCATTCATTCGTAACTTTATTATCCGGCAGCTAATGTAGCTGATTCAAGTTGGACTACAAAACTAACTAAAAGGACTACAATTTTCGCGTTCGGAATTCTGCCAAAATCAAATTAGAAGATGGTAAAAATCACGTTCAAAGTCAAAACCGTATTAGTAAAATTGAAACCACGACATTTAACATATCAGTTATCAAATTGAATATCAACGGTAATAATCACTGGAAAGTGAAAAATTTATTAGACTTCTATTTGTTCAACCTGCATTGCTTTACATTGTTACCTTAACACTAGGTAAATTCTTTGTTTTGCAATACAATTCATTATACAATCATAAAATAAATAAAAACACACACATATGGGTGTGTGTATTTTCGTTATGCATAGTTAGTTAGTTCTGTTAAAAGATGGTTAAAAAATGGAAATTTTTTTCGTAAATTAAATCGGATTAGAAATTGAAATTTTCACTTTATTTTTATATATTCAAATTCCAAATCAGAAAAACCGGAAAAAATCAGAAATCAAAATTTCAAAAATTAGAATAAAAAAAATTGTTCAAGAATCAGAACTTTTCGGATCAAAACGGATGAAATTAAAATTTCCGTTCCAACTTGCATATGTGGATGCGACACGTATCTAATTCTTGTCTTCAAGTATATCCGTTCGATAAGAGTGATCCTTAGTCCTTTCTAATGACCTCCTAACCTCATAATTAAACAACCCCCACTAATTTAATTAACGATAAAAAAAACCTACTAATTTAATTTCATTATTTTTATTGCTAAAGCAAAATTACCTCATCAACGCAAATAAATATATGGGTTTTTATTTTTGTGGGTATTTTTTTCTCATGTATTATTTAGGAAAAAAGGAGAGGCAGAGTCCATTTTCATTTCTTAAATGTTTCTTAGCTACCACCTAAAATATATTTCGCAAATATTTTATTTTCTTCCAAACTAGACGATTATTTATTTTTGCAGTGTCATTTTCATCTCGATATATTACGTTAAATAATAGAATTTTCGTAATTCATGTTTTCGAGTTCCGTCCTACTAAATTTTTAAATATGAACATCCTTTTCCATGGTTTTAACTTTTATATATAGTGAAGCATTTTTACCTAACCAAATATTAATCAAAGTATGCCCAAAAAAAAGGAAGAAAAAAAGAAAAATGGGAAATTGCAGAAAAACAATATTATTGGGTTTTTTTGTTGAATTTACTGGAAAGGTGAAACTGAGCCATGTGATCATCTCTTAAATATGAGTTGTCCATCATCATTCATTTTCGGTTTTTCTTTTGCCTATATTTATTAAATGAAACCTCGGCGTCGATAATTGCTGCCAAACTCGGAACTACAATCTCCCCTCAGCAATAGCGGAATCGAACTCGTGACATTGATTTTGATATCACTTATAGGACCACATACGCTACCAGTTATCTTAAAATCAATTGATGTCACGAAAATACTCAGATCCTAGCCTTATTTCCACGGTATTCGATTGTGGGCATCCCACACCCGAGCCTTCCCCATATGGACAATTGCTGCCGAACTCACGCTAACGTTTTAGTCTAGCCGACTCGAGCATATTGATTTTTTTTTATAATTAATTTATAATTTTGTCATTGATTAAGTTAAGCTCAAATTGCATTTCAAATACAATAAAAACATATTTAAAATCAAGTAATATTATATGATTGGTCATTAAGCATGGGTCAATGCTCTGCAGTCAACAATGTTACAATATTTACGAATGATATAATCTTAATCAATTTTAACAATCTCAATTACAAATGTACACTATAATAATCTCATTGTTAACATATCTTAAACATAGAATTATCACATATTATAATATTCACGAATCTAACTTGATTTAATCATTTTTCAACATTCTATGGCAAATTCACTATAATCATTATTATCAAATAATAAATTACAAATATTGCACAATTTTAAATGGGGTAAATTATTATCACTTCCTGGGGTAAGGTTAAATTACGAAAAAAATTCTCTTATCTTTCGATAATTACAACCCGCCAATTAACTATAAATTTTCTTACACGTTCACCTTTATGGTGTCGAATTCAACAGAATTTTCTACATTACGTGGAAAATTCCCTAGTTTGTACTCATTTTGTGCAAAAATACAGTTTCTGATATTTATTATTTACAAGCTAAGAGAGACATATTATAATTATCTTGTTTCAAAATACGAAGCTCGAATGAGTTAAAACGAATACAAACTGAAGAATATTCCACACAAACTAGAAAATTAATCGATTAACAAGTTATGGCCTAATCTCGTAGATAGCTGCTGAGCCGCCAAAATATTAATAATTTAATGATTAGGTGGAATTAATCGGGCCCAAAACCAGCTAATCAAAAGCATGATTAACATAAACACAAGATTAGTTAATAATTAAATGATAATCCTATGACACTCTGTACAAGAAGATAAGAACAAACCAGAAAAACAAACACACAGTTAGCAGCCTGTCAACTTCTTTCCAGAACACTCCCTCTCATCTTTCTAAGAACCCTAATCCCAGTCACAATTAAATATTATATATTAAAATAAAGGATAAAATGTACTTCAGCCCCTATAAAATTTTCTATTTTCGCACATTCCCCCTAAAATTCAAAAAATGATACTTTGCTTTTGAAATATTATTTTGTTTGCACTTTGACCATATACCAATTTTTGAAGAGCATTGTGAAACAAAAATAACATTTTAAAGAGCAATGTGCTACAAGAATTAACATTTAATAGGGCAAAGTGGACAAATATACTCAATTCCGATGAATAATGCATCGGGCAAATTGCAAACCCTCTGTAAATTTCTAATTTTCGCCTTTTACCCCCTCAAATTTTTAAAAGTGAATGTCCCCTTCAAAATGTTATTCTTGTTGCACATTCCCTGACAACAAAACTCCAATGGATTATTCATTTGAATTGAATATTTTTGTTGCATGTTGCCCCTTTAAATATTATATTTGTTACATATTGCCCTTTAAAACAAATTTTTTTTTCACGTTGCCCCTTTAAATGTTATTTTTGTTGCACAATGCCCTCAAAAAAATGTCTTATGAGCCTAAGTGCAACCATAATAATATTTCGAAGTGGAAATATCCTGTTTTTGAATTTTTAGGGGGGAAAGTGCAAAATTAGGAAATTTATAAGCGGTGAAGTGCATTTTGTCCAGGGAAATTTATAAGCGGTGAAGTGCAATTGTTTAAAAAAATTGAGGGCGTAATGTGCAAAAAAATTAGAACTTTAGAGGGGGGTGATGTGCAATTTTACCTAAAAATAAAAACAGCATATTCTTTTTTCTAATCCATAAACTAAACATGATTAGTATAATTAAATAAATTATTTATAGCAGCCTAATATAATAATATTATACAGTGAAAAAAAAAAGACCACTCTCTCCCTATAAAAGACACGTCACACACTAATCTTCCCACCATACACCACCAGTCCACCACCTTTGAAGATAAAAAAAAAAAAAAAAAAAGCTTGAAGTGAAGAATCAATGGCGGAGAGCAAGGAGGAAGATGTGAAGCTGGGGGCGAACAAGTACACGGAGAGGCAGCCGTTGGGGACGGCGGCTCAGACGGACAAGGATTACAAGGAGGCGCCGCCGGCGCCGCTGTTCGAGCCGGGAGAGCTGAAATCGTGGTCGTTTTACAGAGCTGGAATAGCGGAGTTCGTGGCTACGTTCTTGTTCTTGTATATTACGATACTGACAGTGATGGGTGTCGGAAAAGCGCACAACAAGTGCGCCTCTGTCGGAATTCAGGGGATTGCTTGGGCCTTTGGTGGCATGATCTTTGCCCTTGTCTACTGCACTGCCGGAATCTCAGGTCCCTTTTCTGTGTGTGTGTGTGTGTGAGAACTATTTTAGCTATGTTTTTTTTTTAATTTTTATTATTATTATTATTATTATTATTGGGTAATTACGAAAAAATCCCTGAACTTAGGCTAAATAACGCAAAACACCCCTACTTATTCGTAATTACCAAAAATCCCCTGAGGCTTGTTTCCGTCTTGAACCAATCCCTTACGGTGTGACTTTTCACGGATTTTTTTTTATTTCGTGGTATAGACTTTATATATTTTCTTTTATTTCTCAGCTATTTAACATAAGATATTATAATAGATTGTACACATTTTCTGATAAAAACTCAATCAACAGTTAATTAAGGGGGGTTTTGGTTGTTACGTATAGGTGGGGTGTTTTTCGTTATTTAGCCTAAGTTCAGGGTGTTTTTTTCGTAATTTACCCTTTATTAGGGTGTGTGTGTGTGTGTGTATATATATATATATATATATATATATATATATATATATATATATATATGAATTTGTTTGTTATTTTACCAATTTTTAAAAATTATTTTATATAGTAGCATTCTTCAGGGCTGTGTACACATAAAAAAAAAAAAAAAATTATTTGCCAGAGTTGAAAGAATCTTGAATGACACTACTTATTCCCTACTATATTATGGGATTGATTTGGATTGGATTGGATTTTGATTAATTTTCTACTGTTAATTAATTAATTATGTTATTTGTCAGTTACTAAATAATCAATAAATCTACTCTTCAATTGGTTGCGGGCTTGAGTCAGGTTAAATCTTGTCAACCGAAAGATTTTACTAACTTCTACTATTTTGTCGACAATCGGTCGAGGCATAACTAATTAATAAATTAATTACAGGAGGGCACATAAACCCTGCAGTGACATTCGGTTTGTTCTTGGCAAGAAAGCTATCGTTGACTCGAGCAGTGTTCTACATAGTGATGCAATGCCTCGGAGCCATATGTGGGGCCGGTGTGGTCAAGGGTTTCATGAGTGGGCCCTACATGGCCCTTAAAGGTGGGGCCAACTTTGTTAACCATGGTTACACCAAAGGTGATGGCCTTGGTGCCGAAATTATCGGCACCTTTGTTCTCGTCTACACCGTTTTCTCTGCCACCGATGCCAAGAGAAACGCTCGAGATTCGCATGTGCCTGTACGTCTCTTTCTTTCTTTGTCGTCTCCTTTAATTTAATAAATAAATAAATAAATAATCGGAAAAAAGTCTTATTCGATTGGTTTTGCAGATATTGGCTCCACTTCCGATTGGATTTGCAGTGTTTTTGGTTCACTTGGCCACAATTCCCATCACCGGAACCGGCATCAACCCTGCCCGGAGCCTTGGTGCCGCCATCATTTACAACAAAGCTCACGCATGGGATGACCACGTAACTCTCTCTCTCTAAAATTATAATGCGTTTATCAAAAACGAATTAAATTGCATTTTATTCGTTTAATGTATGAACATATGTGTATGATGTATCAGTGGATATTCTGGGTGGGACCCTTCATCGGAGCAGCTCTAGCCGCCTTGTACCACCAGATTGTCATCAGAGCCATACCTTTCAAGACCACCACCAGGGCTTGCTAATTAAAGTTATTTATGCATGCCACCGTATTTTTCGTTCGTCCCTATCCGCACTTTATTATCCTCCTCTCATCAGTGTGTTAATTGTGATTAAGTTGTCAATTTGTGTGTAAATTATGAGGCTTGTGTATCTATGTGCTTGTTTCTTCTTTTGAATTAAGAATTGTTATATGAAACCATCATGTAAAGAGCCTAAGGTCTCGTTTGGTTGCCGATATATGATTAGCCAACATAAGATTAAATGACAAGATAACATAACATTTTCAGGTCTGACCTGGGAAGTTACTCGAGATACCAGACATCAAATAAAGTCCAGCTATTTAGTTAATCGTGGTTAACCTCTCCAACCAAACGAGGCCCTAATCAACAATAAAGTCCGTTTATGGAAAATCGGTCCGTTGTCAATTGTTACATAAATTTTTTATTTGATCTGGTATTGCATTATGATCTCAGAATTCTGGTACAAAAACCCTTTACAGCAGAGCAGACACATCTAAGTTCTATATGAGCTTTACCCAACCTATTCAACAACATTTTCAGCATAACCCTATACTTCTCCCAATTTGCAAAATTGCCCCATAAATATACAGCAGCCTGTACAGGCAAAAGATTTACAACACCAAAAAGAAACATAATTACTATACTTTGCAGCTCCTTATTCTACTCTTTCCTATGCCGCAATACAAATTCAACTAAATTTACAGTAGTTCCGGATTTTTTTTTACCTGTCCAACTTCTAGAGCTTCTCTATATCTGCAAGACGAAAAAATTCCGTATTAGTATTTGCTGCAAGAGTAGAACGAAGATCACATAAGACACGACAGAATCAATCAATACCTTCACTAACTATACTAACAATTGTTGGCCTCTATCATCTTCATCTTCAAGAAAGGAACAAAGTACACCAAAAAATCGATATTTTACAACTTAGAAATTCTTGCGACAATTAGAAGGTCGATCGGGGGCATTAAAACCCACTCTTGTTTCTAGACATTGGGGATTTTGGGCTCAATTTCAACCCAGGGTTTGGCCTCACTGGATTCTTCAGGAGCTGTTGTGACACACGGTCAGCTAAAGCTAAATGCGCGTCGTATAACTGCTCTTTTTTGTCCTGCAAAATGGGTCGTTCGACTTTATTTCCAAGGACAAATGAGCTTAGTACACTTCATCGGAATATTATATCACGATATCTTTTAACATAATTTAAATGCCCCAACATAATGAATACGAAATTCGACATTTTCCAGTGGGCTGATTTTTAATAAGCAAATCATAAAAGGCTGGATTTACTTAAAGGGGTTCACGATTATAGAACAGGTTGCACGAAGATCAATAGCACTAGAAAAAACGGAAAACGAAAACCAGTATATATATACCAGAGCTCTGACTTTGTGCGTTAGTGCAGGCATGGATTCCGTAGGTTCAGCACTTGAAACATGTCTTTCCGATAAAGTAGATTTTTTTATAAACGGATGCTCCAAAAGCTGAGCAGCTGTAGGACGATAACATGGATTGCGCTGCAAACATTGCCTTACAAAATCCTTGCATTCATCTGAGAGGCTATCTGGAATTTCGGGAAGTTCTTTACTGTTCCCAATTTTGAACAAAGCAGCAACCTTTCAAGTTTCAAGGACCACAAAAAAAAAATATTACGAAACGGATTTTTATGTCCCTTATATGATGTAATAAAGAGAATATGCAACGTCTGAATATAACGAGATAAACCAACCCCTTCATACTGACTCCAAGGTGGTTTTGTGGTAGCCATCTCCAAAACAGTGCATCCGAGGCTCCATATATCCACCGCAAGGTTGCAACCGCTTGAGTTCTTTACGACCTGTAAACTGATGCAATATTAGAGTATGAATGGATTTAATTTCTATAAATGGAAGTAGAAAATAATTAGCTTTAGCCAACCTCAGGTGCCATCCAGTACGGGCTTCCCTTAAATGACAGTGGACATGACGGCGCAGTTATCTGTAAAATGCAGTATTTATATTTAGATCGAATTTAATATAAAATTTATTTTTACGGTTTTCCATTTTGCTGCAGGCTAACTTCATAAACTAACAACTAGATTCAATATTACTTTTTCATATCGTTATTTGGGAGCGGAGCGAAACGAGATGAGACGATATACACTTCAAATCATCTATGGTAGCCAACTTACTAATAAATCTACAAAATTCTATACACGTTTGAAATGAAAACTGTTGAGGTAGCTACGAGGGGCCTCTTACATGTTTTGCCATCCCAAAATCTGCCAGTTTTACCCGCCCATTGGGGTCGACAAGAATATTTGCTCCCTTGATGTCCCTAACCAAATAAAAGTACACCCAGTGAATGGATGAGTGCAATTTCCAGGTTCTAAAAAAGTTCAGAGATGAACAAGAAACAATAATAGAATATCAAACAAGAATGTATTGCTTGAGAAATACCACACCTGTGAAGTGTGTTTTTGCGATGCAGATAAGCCAGCCCGGATAATATCTGTTGGGTGTAACTTCGGATTGCTGCTTCTCCCAACTGCCCATAGTCTTGGAGAATTTTGTAAATTGAACCGCCAGATACATACTCAAGGTATATGTACAGTTTGTCATCTACCTATAGAGAAACATAATACCACAGTGAAGGTTAAAACTAACCACTCAGAACCAAGCAAATCTTCCATGCAATTGAATGTTCAACAATGAAATGTTTACTGCTTGGAACAACCATGGAAAAAGATCTGCTCAACTAAAAAATCATGTAAAAGTTGTACAAAATAAGCTAATCATCAACATGTTTATGATGAAGAGAAAAAGTAGATATTTTACAAAAAAATCACTTACTGTCTCAGATCCATAATATTGCACAATGTTTGGATGATGTAGGCGACTTAAGAATGCAACTTCCTGCAGGAATTACTCGAGTTACAGTTACAAAAAGATAATTTGCCGACAAGCAATAAGAACATTGTACTTCTTTTCTTCTATAATATTGTTTCAGTAAGCAGCAATTTTTTCTCTCTCCGAAATAGAGCTCCAGCAAAAAAAAAAATTTGCCCCTTACTGAACGGAATAATGCGAGTTAATAAAACTCACATGCCCAAGTTGTTGCGCACATTCCTTTGACTTAGCATCATTCGAGAACAATGTAACCTCCTTCATTGCGCACATTTCACCAGTTTCACTAATAGAAAGAGAAAGTGGGAGGCAAATAAATAAAATTGTTCTACACAATTTCACCAAATGCAGCATTAGCAGCAAATAGCAATAAAGAGATAAAGAAGCCGACATATTTTTAAGAAAAAACAGAAATTAAAAATACTACATGTGGTTTAGAATTCAACAAGGGCTAAGGCGAAAACCAAGATTGTCAATAGATGCCCCTGATAGGCAGAGAGCAATAGTATAATATAGCAGAGGCATATTGCTAGTGAAAGAAGGCACCAACCTACTGAAACCCAGATAAACATGTCCGAATGTTCCTCTTCCAAGCAACCGTCCCTTCTTCCAACGTGAACCTGGACTTGTAGGGCTGCGCGGAATTCTGGGAGAGGCTCCTGCTGAATATAATGGAGTAATTGGAGGAGGACTACATACACTTACAGGAGGAAAAGGCAATGGATGGCTTTGTTTCCTTCCATCATCAAGCCGGGCTGTAGATGTAACTGCACGAGAATGCAGAGGGGTAACTGCACCACTATGTATCCTCGAGCTGGGACATGGACTCGCCGTTCCAGGGCTAGGCAATGGCGAACATTCAGGACTACACTTGTTCGTGATATGCTCGTGACCAAATAAGCTCATTGGACTTCTTCTAGGACTTGACATTGAGCTGTCTGGTGCACTCAAGAAAGCAACATGATGAGGAATCTGTATATGGGCAACTTTCGAGTTCAAAGGTCTCTGCTTGTTCAACAGTATATTAGCTGGCTTCAACATCTCCCTTACATTCCTTTTGTCGGTAAAGGGAGACTGACCCCTCTGCTTCAACCTATATCAGTTTCAAGTTACCATAAGGAGTAATATAAAGGAGAAGACACGTCAAACTAGAGATAGAACTTTGCAAAAACATATTACTTTTGTAACTAACAAACTCACCCCGAAGGACTCGACGTGTCGGATTTAATTCCATTCTCATAATCAGATGCTTGAGGACTAAGAAGACGTGAGTCAGATGGATCATCAGTATCGCTAGAGGTATCACTAGAGTTAGAAGCAATAGCAAAGTTTCCTTCACCGATTACAGCATGTGCCACAATTTTGACATGTCCAGGTTTTGGAAGGGGAAGGGGAAGTGGTTGGGACTTGGGCCTTTCGCCAAAACTTTGACACCGTGATACTTTTTTGGAGGGTGATGGAGATTGTAAATATGCCCTCAACTCAGATCGTTTCTCTGGTGTAATATCGCTACATCTTCTTCGTGGAGATATAGGCCTAATGCATTGCATGTGCAATGAACCAATGATATTTTGCATGTTTGATTTCTTCTTGACTTCTTTTGAAGACTTCCACCATGAAGGCATAGTTCATAAACAAATGAGCGCCTCACCCCCTTGTAGCGATATGAAATATCAAACGTCAAGTCAGTTTGAAGTGTCGGAGATCGTAAATCTAGAAGCAAAATATAATGTGATACAAAAGTCTGATGTACAAAGTTTTACTCTAATGAGGACTTATCAAAACCAAAGCAATTTTGATTAGTGCACTCAAATAATAAAGCTGGCAAAAATAATGCAGAGCGGCTATCAACGAGCAATCGGAAACTACATTAAAGAGAAACAGGAAGAAAGAGAAACACAACAAAATATTTTGCAAGTGTCTTACAGATGCATAAACAAAATGGACAAAGTTCACAGGATATTATGGAGTTGAGTCCATAACTAATTAAATATCGCTAAAAAGTTGTCACACCGGTCTATGAAACGTGTATTAAGTATCAGTATGAGCATGTGACCAGGCGGCTTTTACTTTTAGACCGTAAGCATCAGGACCCTATAGGTAGTGCATATTCTTACTAAAATTAAAAAAACTATTCAAAAAAAAGGAACTCCTTCAAATGTTTATGGTTATCAGATTTTTTAAACAAATGCGAAGCACATACTCTGAATGGATATGTTTCCAATATCAATCACAAATACCTATTTCCATCAATAAATTGCTAGAAGAAAGTCAATGGACCAACTTTCAGATAATAAAGGACTCGCCGACAAAACATTTCGAGATTTTCAGTTAAATGGGAATTGCTTAGATTTAACGAATTCCATTAGACATTATGATTACTGAATCGGCATATTTTGATAATATGAATCTGAAGCGTTCTGTTTTACGGGATACCGCAACATTGATGGATAAACTTACCAAATCAGGACAATAACTTCTTGTTCACGTCACAAATAACAAAACTTTCTTTAGGTACGATATATTATATACTCGTGTATCTAGATTCTAGGCAAATAGACGCTGATATATCATCACATTCCAATACAAAAAAATTATGAAGTAAAATCAACATACTTCTTCTTCTAAACATATAACTGCATACATTTCTAAAGATCAAATTAAATGTACGCAGGACCAGGAAATTCAAGATTCCCATCTTAGTACACCGTTAGAACACCACCAAGATGTAGATAAATCTATTAGAAAGCTCATCACAAAATAAAATTCATGAATAAATTTACGAGAATATGATTTTGTGTGGGTACGCATCAAGAACCCCAATTAACTTACCATATCAAACTATAGAAATAAATCTTGGTGCAGATACATCTATTAGAAAGCTCACACACACACACACACACACACACACACAAAAAAAAAATAACCCTGAAGAAAAACACAGTAATAATTGTAGACTGATGCTGAAATTCGACTTAATATCTCACAAAAACAATTAAATTCACCGAGCTGAACCAGAAAAATCAAATCAAAAAACAACTGTTAGACCACCCCCAATACAAAAAAATAATTTTTTTCTTAGTAAAATGAAATTCACCTGAAAGCGAACTTCGAACTCGGACACAAACTCACAAAAACCACTCAGGACAGATTTAGGGGAAATGCAGCAATTAAACAATTAAGAAAACACTGCGGAAACGTAAACAGTGAAATCCTGTAATGAAAATACTGATTATGCTACTGCTAGTTGATGAAATGGGAATGTTGGGAACACGAATTTATAGAGGCTCAATTGGCTAATACACGATGAAATTATGGTAGGAAACACAGAATCTGAGCTGAATTACGTCAATGTCAAACCCTAATTTATTGTAATCCTACTCACCGGAGGGAAGGGCAGCAGCGAACCGCACCAAAAAAAAAATCCCTGTTCTCACATAATCGCCCGTACAGAAAAGGAGAGTAATATGTTTTAGAGAGAGAAAGGGTGTCCTGTCTATATATACATACACATATATTTATGTATATATTATGCATGCACTTTTTTCTAGAGAGGGAAATTACTATTGACACACTTTTTGACACTGGAGCACTCAAATACACACTACAAACTTCGATAATTTAATAACCTTGCTTAAATATTAGATTATTTCAGCCTCAATTAGGTGAGAACGTGTTAAATTATTAACTCGATAATTTAATATGTTTTAGTATAAAAGTCCCGAAAAGTGAATTTAGGTTTAAAATGAGTGTACATTCGAGTTGATAGGTCGTAGATTGTCGTTGTTTTAGTGATTGAATTTAGTTTTTAAATAACTATACGTTGGAGCTGAGAGATTAGTAGACCCGAGTCGTTGTAATCATTTTTGTTAGTACGATACATCTATAACGTTAACTTTATTTTTTAAAGTGAGTTATTAAATACGGGCTATATATAGTATTTTATTATACGGATATAATGTACGACATTTTTATAATGTTTTAGAGATTAAAGTTTGCGATTGTTGTTGACATCAAACGTAGTTTCATTAAGTCAATTTTAAAACTTACCGTTTACTTGAGAAATATTTCTTTTGTAAGACGATGATAATTTTCCTGAACACCCGAACAAATGAAAATTACTCGACGAACAACAAAAATCAAATTTTGTGCACTATTAATTAAACAAATTGACATTTTTTTTAAACTTTATTAGTTATGGAAATATTTGGTTTGATAATATAATACATAAATTGCTAATAAATATTGAATTAGATGTAATAATTCATGGAAATGTTTGATAAGATGAGGGGTACTAATGTCCTTACACATTTTAGTTTTTTTCTGGCAATAGCATTTTTAACTCTTGCAATAGAGAGATATAGTTGCATGGAAGAAAACCAATTCAGTGATAAAATTACAGTACCGTACGATTATACCTTGCCACCTCTTGCCATTTGATTTCATCATAGTGACGTCATCCAATGATTCAATTCGACCAATAGTAATTTACAGAATTAAATTAATGTAACTTTTTTATTTTGCCAATTATCTTAATTTTTTTGTCACAATTACATAATCTCCATACTTTATATGCAATTAAGATTTTAAATTGCAAGTTCTTGGATTTTGCATTTATTAATTACCATTTTGGTCCTACAATCCAGGTTGGATTTTATTATGTTAATTTATTAAAAGAAAAAGGGTAGATTTGGATCATATTAAAACAATATTTATGGAGATGTGTAATATTTAAATCTACGACCTATAATTATGTAATTAAAATTCAAACTACATAATGTGATTATTAATTCGAGTTATTAATATATTTCATATATTAGTGTTGATAATATTACGAGAATGATATAGTATTTGCATAATTATGTCGATGAAGATGGTAAGCTTATTATTCGAGTTTAATGTAACGTATGAATGATGTTTTCATGATGTTTTTATATATATGGACTGTAAATCTTGAAAATTTTAAATATGTACACTCAATTAATTAATAATCTCGTTCTAGTAATATTTTAGATATTACACCATATTAAATCTCATCGGGGAAATATCAATTAGTGGGTGTGTATATATTTTGGCCTATTTTATATAAAAAATCAAACATTTCCGTGTATATAATTTTAGTAAACAACGATGATATGTTATTTATTCGGTGCAATAATTACATAACCTTAGATAATCGGTTCTCTGAACCAAAGTTCTACAAGTAATCATAATGATTTATTACTCAATTCGTTTCACAATCACCGTCGTTTAAATTTATGTACGTGTATTCATTAAACAATATAAATATCAATAATTTCTTCTTATTTTTTTTTAAAAAAAAATTAACAAATTAATCGAAATGCAATTTCATTTTATTCTCACTAATCCAAGTAAAGCAATACAAATATATAGTATACTATTTCCAATGTGAAAAATAAAATAGAAAATAAAACAACATATAATATAATATATAATAATAATAATAAACCCATTATTTATAATTACCAATCTTTTCCAATATTGGAGCCAAGTCCCTGCGATGCACATTCACCTTCAGGCCATATTTCATGAACAGCGTCAACGACATTTTCTGCTCCACCTTGTGCCCCACCGCCACCGTGAGGCGGTGGCGGAGAAGCACCGCCGCCGCAATCGACTTCATCTGCAAGTAGGCCAAATCCTTCCCCAGACAAATCCTCGGCCCCGCGTTGAACGCAACAAATCGAAATTGATCCTTCGCCTCAAATTTCTTCCCGTCTTCAGACAACCATCTCTCCGGCTTAAATTCCAGGTAATCTTCTCCCCAAACGAATTTCATTCGACCGGCGGAGTAGATCGAGTAAGTAATATTCGATCCCGCCGGTACAAACGTTCCGTCGGGAAGCACATCATCGGCGATTACGTGCTTCGAATCTTCCGGCACGGAAGGGTACAATCGTAAAGTCTCCGACAGCGCCGCTTTCAGGTAAATCAACCGGTCAATTTCTTCGAAAAGTAACGGATTATCAAGCCAATTAGAGGTATCTCCGCCGCCGCCGCGAGTTTCCGTCAAAATTGAGCAGAGTTCGAGCAGGATTTTCTCCTCCGCCGCGGGATTGAGAGTGAGCAGCCAGAAAAACCAGCTGAGCGCCGCCGATGACGTGTCGCGTCCGGCGAGTATGAAATTGAGGACGACGTATTGGAGGAATTCGTCGGTGTAGGGTTCCTTCTTCTTCATGAATCTGGATAACAAATCGTCGTGTACGACGCCGTTTTGCTGACTCGTCAGTTCGAGCTTACGTGTACTGATGACATTGGTCATGTATTCGTCCACGTGTTTCAGATTCCGGCTCAAGCTGAGCTCCGTTCCGAGCCGGAGCCATTTTTTTAATTTCCAAACAAACTCCGGGAAAATGAAGCGCTGAAGCGTGGCTTCGGTGGCTCGATCGAAAGCCGCGGCGAAGCTGTTATCCGGCATATCGACGGCGAGCGTCTGCGGGTCCTTACCGAAAGCCAAGCCGCAAATGTTGTCGAAAGTGAGCCGTAGCAAAAGGTCCTGGAGATCGACCGGCTTGCCCTGGAGCTGAGCCGTATTCAGTATCGGCACGAACCGAGTCTCGATGGCTCGGCTCACCCATCGGGACATGGCTTGACGGAGCGTCCGGGTGGTGAATTCCAGCGCGGCGGTCTTACGCTGGAACAGCCACGTGTCGCCGTCGGAGTTGAAGATGCCCTGGCCCAACAAATCATGGAACACGGCTTGCCAGGTTGGCCCCTTGGGGTAATTGTCGAACCTGACCTTCAATATGTGCTCTAAATTCTTCGGGTCGCACGTGACCGTCACGTGCCCTTGTTTCCGGGCCAAAAACGGGACTGCGAGTATGCACGTCTGGTACGTGCCGCCGCAGGCCCGGAGATTATCGGCGATCCAATCGTGCATGCGGCCGTTGTTCTCAATTAGGCCCGGTAGGCTGCCCAACACGGGCCACAATCTCGGCCCGTTTAAGGACCTCGTAATTGATCTGAACCATAGGAAATACGCTGCTACGAAGGCTGAAATGATCATGGCCGTCGAAATATCCATTCTTTAATTAATTACAAAAACCACTGCAGAGAGAATTATACAAAAAACAAAAAGAATATTCACCAAATTAAATGAATGTATGTGGTATATATATAAACAAGAAAAAGGGGGTATATATATATATATGAGATTGGAGAAGAAAAGAAACCAAGAAAGAGTGAGTGAAAGAGAAGATAATTAATAAAGTAATTTATAGAAAAATAAAAAGATCAGTTGCAATAAATTGGGGTAGGGGGAGGGGTTTTGGCCGCTGTTTGAAACCAGTACACACATATATTATTTATATATCTATCTATATGATGTGTGAGAGAGAGAGAGAGAGAGAGAGAGAGAGAGAGAGAGAGAGAGAGAGAGAGAGAGAGAGAGAGAGAGAGAGAGAGAGAGAGGAGCTGTTAAAGCAGCAACATTAAATGGCAGCAAGGGTCGTTGGAGTAACAAGAAAATCAGGATAAATATATGTGCACAGGCCTTCGTTTGGGAATATTGATTAGATTGATAAGATTAATTGAACTGGATAAGAAATATTACACTGTGTACGCGTGATAAGGTAATATGTACGTGATTATCTAATGTTCGTAAATTAAGTACATTTACGATTATAAGTGTAATGTACTTCATTCGATTGTATAATAATAAGAGTTCCGAGGTTAGACGCATGTATAATTCAATTCATACATCATTAGATTAAATTCCGGGCTCGTTGTTAAACCGAAACTTCAAACGTTTGATACGCATTGATTATATTGTGTATCGGATTATATTATTTTATCCGAAACGAGGCGATGGATGGAAGAAGTAATCGACCTCCAAATTTGATCTGTAATAATTAGCCCTACACTTTAACTGAAAACTCATGCATTTAATCTTCAAATATTTATTTCATTTTGGAAGAATAAGAATTAATTTCTTCTTTAAAATTATTATTCTTTCTGTTTTCTTTTTCTTTTCCAGCCCTTAAATTCCTGCATTGAATGATAAGGAGAAAGTAGACGAAATTAGTTGAGGAATTATGCATCAACATGTAATGAATATACGATTACGAATATCTGCACACTTGTTACTCACCGACAACCGTTACACGTTTTTGCATTAGATTTCGTGATAATTTATTCGACGAACTTTTTTCCAATACTTTCTAACTGTATATTTTAATTTTAGAAAAATGAAATTAAATTAAAAAAAATTAACTTACAAGAAAAAAATAATATGGTAAAATTACAGTTTCGTCCCTCAAATTTGCACTCATTTCACATTTGGTCCCTCATGTTCACAAAAAACACATTTGATCCCTCATGTTTCAATAATTAAACATTTTTTATCATTTCCGTCAATTTACCGTTAGTTCTTTAGTTAAGGCGGTGACGGACACATGCTTACTTCCATTAATACTAGCAGAAAATTGACGTAAAGGGATGAAAACTATATTTTTTATAAACATGAGGGACTAAATGTAAAATTTGTGCGAATTCGAGTGGTCACTTTCTCTGTTCTCAAGTGGAAATGTTGAGAGTAATTGCTTCTTTTTTTTTTCCAACATTACAGTTAGGAGTTTTAATAAATGGCACTAGTCAAAAAGCTGACTATGTCAAATACCAAATATATCAACCAATATATATTTTATTTATTTTTTTTAAATTGAAATGTTTTTATTTCATGTGACATGAAAATAGGGATCGAATCGTAATTTATACATACCGGTATTTCTCCCCGTGCGATGCACAAAATAACATTTCAAAATTAAGAAAAATACACTGAGTGGATTAGGAATTTGCTTGCGGATTTGAAATCTGATTGATGATGGAAAATAGGAGATAAAATAAAATTGAAAGAATAATTTAAAAAAATATGAAGTATGCCATTAGGGTTAAAAAAAACACTATCCATGTGGATTTGAATTTTGGCGGCGAGGTATTTTCCGAGGGGACACTTATTTAGGGCGGACATTGGTCTCCGAACTTCGTCGACATGGAGAAGTATCTGGAAAACTATGGCTATGTTTGTTACTGTTTTCAAATTCTTTCCACACTTTCCCCAAAATGAAAATTATCTTTCTACACTATTTTCAAAAACTTTCCCCAAAATAAATTCAAATACTTATCTCTCTAACAAACATGATTTGACCGCTACAGTGAAAATTGTCTTCACTAAAATACAAAATCAAATCACTTTATCTTTTAAATTCTTCTTCCAAAATACCTTTTTCCAACACCTTTCAGACATGATTTGACTTTCTACAGTACAAATTGTCTCCTCCCAAAACACAAACAAACTTTATTTAATTTTCAAATTCTTCTCCCAAAACATCTTTCCCCAAAATAAAATGGAAATGGAAGCCCAAAAGCTTACCAAACACAGCCTATCTATTCTTAAAAAATGGGCCTTCGTCGTAGAGAATAGGGAATGGTAGGGAAACATCACTATGGGTCGACCCGCATCTTAGAGATCATGCAGTCTCCAATTTGTAGTCGGTGCAACACCGAAGAAGACTCTATTCTACATGTCACTCTACACCGTCAAGGTATGCAGGATGTTCGGCGTTCGAGGAACTCCGTAAAGCGGACACGCACATCGTCAACAATGGGATGGATCTGTGATGCGAAACATTTGCTCGGTGAAAAAAGAGTTCCTTGTGGCAATGGTGGTGTCTTAGAAATCGCAGGAACGAAGAAACTAGGAGGTTAATTGAGAAACGAGTTTACATGCGTCGGCGCTAATACGGTTGTTCGGAGAGTATTAGTAATTAATTATTTTCTCAAAAAAAAAAAAAACAAATCTAAAATTGAAGGAAGAAACTAAAAATACATTGGTATATGATTTCTTTGGACAATTAAAAAAACCTATAAACGCAACTTATTCAAATTTCTGTTACTATACCTCCACTACCCAAATTTAAAAAAAAAAAAAAAAAAAAAAAAAAACGGCTATGATGAATTAGGAGTTTGGATAGAATTAGCAATTAACCTAGTAAGTTTGCCAAGCGTCTCACGCGCCGCCACAGTGTCCGGGTGGTCCTCGCCGCAAATGGAAGTCCTAACAAAAACAGCCTTCCTAATCAAATCGTCTCCCAAATCGAACTGCCCGCCCCTCGCCATCAACTTTGCCCTCACCTCCAACACGCTCGCACGCGCCAGCGCCAGTTCCCGCCAAATCCAAGGGTTCATCTGCGCCCTCGTCCTAGTCAGCATCCCACCCATGGGCCCGCCGCCGCAGCACGTCATCGCCCCCACCTTCTTATCCACCCACCTGTTCACCGGCGTGACAAACTCCTCGTCGTTCGCCTCCAGCGCCTCCGTGCACAGGCGGAGCAGCTCCAGAGCCACCGCGCACCTCGAGTGCGTGACGAACGTCCTAATCGCCAGCGGCAGAATCACCTCCTTCACGAGATTCAGCAACTCCGCCACCTTCAGTTCCACCACCACCGGATCCTTCCCAAACCCTAGCAGAAGAAAACACGCCGCCCACACGTGGTCGTCGGAGGACAGCAGAACCCCACGGCCGCCGCCAATGGTGGTGGTGGTGACAGCTGTCACCGTCGCATTAGCAACCCCCTCGATCCCCCTCTTCCTCGCGTAGAGCCTCACGAGATGGTTGAACTGCACAACCCCTTCTCCACAACAACTCCTCGCCAAATTAAACCTCAGCAACAAAGCAAACGCCTCCGCTTCCTCGAACGACGACGAACCGCAGGTGCACGGTATGGAGCAGAGAATCTTTCTCCACAGCCTTCTCCGGCGCTGCTTTTCGGGTATCTTCTGCGCGGCGGAGGACAAAACGGTCAAATTAATCGGCGACGGGGCGAACCAACCGCTAGCGAGAACCATTCTCGTCGCTAAACTCCTCGGACCGTTCGCGTGGTCGAATATCGAGAAGCAAACCTCGAAAATTTGCAAGAGAAAATTGTTCCGATTTAGGACGTGATTCTCTCGAACCCTATAAGGCATTCGGTTAATGGTGTCCAGTAACCGACTAGGGTTTATCGGAAGCTCCGATAGAATAGCACCCACTATAGCAAGACCTAGTGTTAATCTCCCTAGCTTCTCTTCAATAACTCGTAAAGAATCGAGTTCTTTAATCGATTGATCTTTATTAAAACCACCACCTTGCATCAAACACATTGCCTCGACACCCGACAAATACGAGAGCCTCAATGGGTCAAGATTCATTATCCGGGTCAACCGTGTGGATATAAGCACATGCGTCTCTCCGCCGAAACGGGGCAAAAGATCCATCACATGCTTGTGGTCCCACCAATCCTTCTCACTCTCCAAATTATCGATCACGACCAAAAACGGAATATTCCTCGAGAGCTCCCTTCGGATTCTTGCTATGGCCGCCTCCTCTTGCTCCTCAAAGCTCTTCGGACGGGTTTTCTCAACCGTGGTGCAACCCTCTAACCCTAAATCGATTTCAAGAAACGAACGTAAATTCATATAGTTCTGACGAATGTATCTGCTTTCGCCGCCTATCCAAAGAACCATTTTGTACCTCTGACGAAACCTATACGCGAATTCTAGAAGCATCTCGGTTTTCCCGATGCCCGAATCGCCCGTCACACAAGCAATCCCCTTTCCGTACACAACTTTCGTCGACCTTCTCCTACTCTTTGACTTTTGTTGTGGTTGAGAAACGTCAACATTCTGCATCTCGATTTCCTTTTCCGATTCCTTCCACACAACGGGTTCTTTCCCCTTCCGTTTATTACTATTACTATAATTACCGCCACTTCCCTCGCTTCTCCGTTTCTCGTCTATCGAACTAGTCCTTCCCCAAGCAATAGTCAAGTTCTTCTTCTTCCGCCTCGGTTTAGCCTTGAGCTCGAAATAGTCCCTCTCCGCCGCATCTCCGCTAACGTCTCCGAATAGCATAAACTCCAGCTCCGACAGCTCCTTTTTCCGGCCGACGAAATTCTCGTTTCTTGGAAAAGGGAACTCTTCTCTCTCCGCTTTCTCTCTCCACTTTGCTAATCTATCCACAACGCTTCTCCTTCCTAATCTCAACGCCAGTAAAGTCACAGCCCGTATAACACAATCCCTCCATTTCCCATCACGCGCATCGAGTTTCCACTCGTCCACACGCGAAAGTGCTCCCACAGCATCTCTCCATTCTTTTTCGAGCCCTCCGTAAAGTAGCCACAGCTCACCTCCATATTTCTCCCAAAGCTCCCCTCTTTTCTCGATTATATCCCTCACGAGGCAGTCGTCGGGCCCCACATCGAAGTACACTGGCACTAGATTCTTCTTGCTCGAGAAAAATCTCAACTCTTCGACAGTGTACGGATTTCGAAAGGACTTTCTAGTCAAGATTATGACTCCGAAAGTGGCTGCATCCATGGCTTTTTCGACTACGCTGTGCTTACGAGAGCTCGTACATCTCGATCTGTCTGTGACAAAGCAGCTCATGCCTTGTACCTCCAGCTCTGCTCGAAGCCAGTTTATAAAACGGAGCAACAACGGCTTTCTTCCGTGGAAGCCTATGTACACATCGCAGCTCCTTATTCGGTTGGAGGAGAAGGAAGTCGGGGTGACGGAAGTTTCTAGAAGCTTCTCGACTTTCTTACTGTTGTTCCCCTTGTGGCGAGACAAGGGGCTTTTCGAAACTCCCGTGGAGGCATCGTTCGAAGAAGCTAATCTAATGCTCGTGAAGAATTCCGATTCTGTATTCGTGGTGGGCAAGTGACTGGGTGGCGATTTGGGGGAGAAGAACGGCGATTGATCGGCGGAGAAAAATGCGGATGACGACGAGGATAAGTTCCGGGATGTTGTGCTAGGCAACGCTCCGAATTTAGTGGTGTGTTGTACTTCTTCAAGATCCATTCTTTTTAGATTCTTGAATCAATCCCTTTTTTGGTGTAATTAGATACATCCTCATCAATGAGGATAGTATCACAGTGAATCCATCATCAATGTAATATTCTGGGAACCTGTTTTTTTTTTAATAAAATTAAAATCAATTTCACACACAAAAACAAAAATCAACAATAATAATTATAGATTCCACATTGCTAAAAATTGTATCTTTGAGCACTACAAAGCAGAGATTCATAATAAAACTAAAAAAAAAAAAAGCATCACAGAAGTTCAAGTGAAAGCAATTTAGATCTAACTCAAAAAAAAACAATTAAAAAAGAAGTCTTTAGCATAAATTGAACCTTATCTAACTCAAATGAAATAAAAAAATTGACTAAATAAATAAAATAAAAATGGGTTTCAGATCTGAACAACTTACTTGAATCTGTATTGACTTCAAAATTTCCAAGAAGGGAAGACGAAACCGCAAAGAGTAAATGCCCTCACAGACAACAGCACAGAAAAAAAAATTCAAGAAACGATCTTTATTACAATCTTCAACATTTCAAGAAAAAAAAAACATAGTATTCCTCGAAAAAATATATGTATATAAATATGGTGGTGAGTACATATACATATATGCACGGCCCAGAAAAATGGAGAGAGTTGACAAGTACGAGAAAGGGGAGTTTATTTGTCCATGTAAGTAAAAGAAAGAACGCGTTTTTATTTGTCGAGAAAAAAAGGAAATTAAAAATGGCGAAAGAGAAATTGGAGAAATGGATTTTGACCCTTTTTTCAGCAGAAATTTTGAAAAGGGTTCTCGCTCATATTTGAATATACTGCTGCTAATTATTACACCCTTTTTTTCTCAGTTTTGAAAATTGAAAAAAAAAAAGATCCCTTTTTTAACCAACTCATCTCTCTCTCTCTCTCTCTCTCTCTCTCTCTCTCTCTCTCTCTCTCTCTCTCTCTCTCTCTCTCCTAGTATAGATATATGTATCGTGTATGTAATATTTGTCTGTGTCTGCATATGGTAATTTCGTAGAATAGAGAATTTCCCCCTTAAATTAATTGGTGTGCATTTTTTTACTTTAAATATAGCTCAAAAGATGGATGAAGAAATAGTAATAATATAATCAATATGAATGATTGTAATTACACATACAACGTTATCGATGCGTGGATGAAAATCGAGTTTTTAACCAATAAAAACACTTTACATGCAGTGTAGTACATATTAGATAATTAGGTTAACTGTAAAAAAACGTTCAGTGTAATGTTAACTGAGTGTAGTATTGAAGAAAACGGTATATCACTATATCATAAAAAAAATGGATCGTTTCAAGTGTTGATTCACTTATGTTTTCATGTTACTATGTTAATAATTATGTGTTTATTGATCTATTTATTTTTCTTTTTATTTTTTTAGAGTACATTATATTCTTTTAAATTGGTTGAAGAATTCAACACCTAGTTGTATATACTATTTAGTGTAGACTCTAGAATTAATGGTTGGTTAGTGCCCTCTTCGAACAATAATTTCTTCAACGGTATATATTTATTAATTATTTCATCAATCCTAGGTTAAAAGAAAGTGCTTTTCCATTAATAACCTAGTTTGTGTGGCAATAATTGTTTGTGTAAGATCTTAAAGTCGACTTCCAAATTGCTACAAACATTTAATTACTATTGTACTATGCCTATACTCCCTTTCACAAATCCTATTATATATTTATTTAATTACAAAAACTCCACTCATGTTTGAGTGATTACAATTTACCCCATTAACTATGAATCTTCTTACACGTCTATCTTGTTGGTGTCAAATTCAACATAATCTTTTTGATTACGTGGAATGTTCCCTGGTTTGTAATTGTTTTGTGCAAAAATGTAGTTTCTAATGCACCATGCCATAATCTGATATTTACAAGTCAAGAGAACACGTCTTGTTTCAAAATATGGAGCTCGAATAGGGTAAAAACGGGTACAAATTAGAGAATATTCCACATAATCCAGAAGATTCCACTAAATTTGACACCACAAGGATGGACGTAAGTAAATAGATTTATATTTAAATGATGCGGTTGTAATTATCCAAATATGAATGGGGTTTTCATAATTTGACCTCTCATCTCCTCTCCCGAATGGCCGTAATTTACCCTAAAAAATATATATATATATAAAAGTGAGAGAAATCGTTGTCAAATTGTGACTCCCACCACTCATCAGTTTGAACACTGCAAGAAAAACCAGAGAAATTGAAACTATTGAGTTGACTTTTTATCACAGTGTGTTAATTTTTGGATCTTTCAACATCATCATAAGTACGAAACCACTATTTTTGGTTTCCGATCAGCCAGCAAGCACATGCCTTCCACTTCCATGTGAGAGCACAACAAATGGACGGCTCTGATGTGTTCACACCATTGTTTGCCTCGGCTTATTTTAAACGGCTTATAAGTTCCTACGTACGATAACTTATTCTAAGAACTGACTAACTGTTACGTCATATATTTTCTAGATTAATTCATAGAGGATGTTTGACTAATCTTATTTATAAGCTGTTGAAAAAAGATGTTTAAAAGTTTATAAGTTCTTCCAAAGTGTTTAGTAAAATTCAAAAAATAAATAGTTGTAGAGCAAATGAGAATTTTTCTAAAGAAATTAGTTGTATTCCGTCTCTTTATTTAGGGTAAATTACACCTGCACCCCTAAGCTATGCTAAAATAACTTTAGGGTCCTTGTGCTATCGATAATTACAACCACCCCTGAAACATTGTTAGAAACTCTAACGAGATAATGCATTAGATACGTGATTTCAATAGAATTCTAACGTACTATTAGTTTCAGGAAGTGGTAAAGACAACATATAGAGCTATGAGTGATTAAGAAATGTTGGGGGAGCCATGTCATCCCCTATTTTAACGTGTTTGGGTAATGAGTTTATAAGGTATTTTATGCATTATAAGATCTTAAATAAAAATAACGGGTAGAGATATATTTTTTTTAAATATCTTAAAAGCTCTCCAACAGCTAATTTTTTTTTTAAGTTTTAAGAGTTTTTTTCTTCTCTAAATTACTAAACATTTTGAAAAAAACTTACAAGCTCTTAAACATCTTATAAGCTATTTTTAACAACTTATGAGCTGTTTAGCCAAACACCCCCTCTTAGTGTAATATATATACATATATATCTTGTTAATTATTTTTTTGGAACAAACTCATGGAATGGTATACTTTTCTTGTGTTTTTTATTTTATTTTTACTCTCTCTTCTTCCAAACTAGCTAGCACATTGATCTATAAACATGTAGACAACTTAAGAAAATGTGTTGTAACATAAATCATGGTATATAAGAAGACCAAATATTTCTTTATAGTGTTTGGTAGCTGGTTACAAGTAGACCTGACCACCGGTTCGGTTAGAACCGGAACCGGAACCGGAACCGAACCGGGGTCAACGGTTTTAGAACCGAACCGGAACCGGAACCGAAAAAACCGGTTCGGTTCCGGTTCCTCATTTTCGGAACCGGCCGGGAACCGACGGTTAGAACCGCGGTTCTAACCGTTTGAACCGGTTTTAAAAAAAAAAAAAAAAAAAAATTCCTAGCTCTCTCTCTCTCTCTCTCTATATCTATATATATATATATAATATATATATGTCCGTGTATATATATATCTATATATATATCTCTCTCTGTATACATACATATATATATATATATATATATATATATATATATATATATATATATATATATATATATATATATATATATATATATATCTGCGTGCAATATATATATCTGTATATATATATATATATATGTGTGTATGTGTTTTTCTCTCTCTCTCTCTCTCTCTCTCTCTCTCTCTATATCTCTCTCTCTCTATATATATATATATATATATCTCAGTATAGAGAAAAAAAAAGTATTTTTTTATATACTCTCTCTACATAAAAAAATATATATATAAACGTGTTTTTTTTTATATTTTTCAGCGTATATATATATATATATATATATATATATATATATATATATATATATATATATATATAAAAAAAAAA